GAGAGGGGGTGAAGGGAGGGCAGGGACAAGGGGAAAAATGAGAACCAAGACCTGTCATGTAAAGGTACAAGATCCCAATGATGGATGTAACTGTACTGCATACCTAAAATGTACCAGTAAACTCAATGAGGGGAAAAAAAAAAGTAAGGCAGGCATCATCACAAACCCTGATTTGAGATTATACTGCAAAGCTATTGTAATAAAAACAGCATGGTAGTGTTAAAAAACAAAACAGACCAAAGGATCAAAGAGACAGAATAGAAGACGCAGAAACAATTCCAAACACCCTCAGCCATCTTGTCTTTGACAAAGGAGCCAAACACCTCTGGAAGAAAAATAGCATCTTTCATAAATTGTGCTGAAAAAACTGGCTTTTTACATTCCAAAGACTAAAACTAGACCCATATCTCTCACTATGCATTAAACTAAAATCAAAAGATCTAAACAATAAAATAGAAACACTAAATTTATTGTAAGACAGAATAGGTAAAACTCTTGAAGACATAGGTATAGCCCTTAGGAACAAAACCTCAATCACAGGAAATTTCTCAAAGAATGAAAAACTTGGATCTTGTCTTATTAAAAAGCTTTTGCATAGCAAAAGAAACCAACAGAATGAAGAAATAACCCACAGTGTGAGAAAATATATTTGCCAGCTCTTCCTCAGACAAAGGACTACTATCTAGAATATATAAAGAACTCAAAAAGATCAGTCTCCCCAAACTAAAAACCCAATACAAAAATGGGCATCTGAAAGGAATAGACATTTCTCAGATGAAGTAGAAAGAGCAAATAAATATATGAAAAAATGTTCCACATCACTGATCATTCGAGAGATGCAAACAGAAACAACATTCAGATTCCATCTCACCCTGGAAAGAACGGTTATCATCAAGAAATCAACCAATAACAAATGTTGGAAGGGCTCTGGGGAAAAAAGGAACGCTTCTACACTGTTGGTGGGCGTGTAGACCAGTGCAACGACTGTTGAAATCAGTGTGGGGATTCCTCAAAACACTAAATCTAGAGGTTTCATTTGATCCAGCTATTCTTGGTATCTTCCTGAATGAATTAAAAGTATCATATAAGGGGCCGGGGACTTAGCACAGTGGTTCGGTGGCCTGCCTTGCAAGTGCCAAGGACCCAAGTTCAATCCCCGGTACCAAAAAACAAAAGTATCATATCACAGTGACAAATACACACCCATGTTTATTGCAGCACAGTTTCTAATAGCTAAATCTTTGAAACAGCCCAAATGCTCATCAACCAATAAATGGATAAAGATGTGGTTCTTTCATGCAATGGAGTAGTACTTTTTCATAAAGAAGAACAAACTACATACATTTCTAAGTAAATGATACACCTTGAGACCATATTCTTATGTGAAACAAATCAGGCACACATGTTTAAATATCACACTGTTTCTCTGATGTGAAAACTGAAAGGGTAAATAAGGACCAAAATATATAACAGATACTGTGAAACAGGAAAAAAATATTCAAATGCACAAATGAATGAAGGAGGCAGAAGGGAGAAAGGAAGGAAGGGAAAAGAAGAAAAGAGAATAGAAGGAAAAAATGGAAACAAAGCTTTGGTAAATTAGGACGAGAAGAAGGGAGGCAAGGGGAATGGGAAAAAAGAAGAATCAATATATATCATAGACAGGTACAAATCCCCTATGGTGAATGCCATCATTATGTATATCTAAAATGTACTGATAAAATTAAGTTTTAAAGTATTTCCTTTATTTTATTCACCTATAAATGTTACTTCATATAAATACGGTAGCATTTTAGGTCAAATGTATAAAGTGAACAAAAGAGGTAGAGGTCAGTACATTTTTGTTTTTACTTCTGCCTCTTCAAATGAGTGGTTTTCATTTCACTCTCCCCCACAGGTATACACGCATTCTCTGCACACCTCTTTCCCCTTCACCCCACCACTTCTCCATTCCATCTACACCACAAGGGCTCTATGAACAGCCCTAGAGAATTATCATTACTTTCTTAACCAGAAGATATTAACATGAGCTGGGAATATGGCTGAGGCTGAGGTTACGAGTATTCACATTACAGAGCAGAGTTGATCAGTCTAAATTACTAGAAGTCTCTCAGATAGTTAGATGTAAGATAAATTTGGTAAAATACAGTAGGAGATAAAATATTCCAAATTCTGGAAAGAGGTCAGAGGATCTACAAGAAGATGTGGCAACCTAACATGAAAAAATCAAACTATCGCTATTTATAAACAGAAGTCTGATATAAAGAAAAGAAAACAAAACAAAACATAATTAGGTCACAAGTGAATTCTCAAAGTCAATCAAATAAAAGAAAGTTTGAAAAGTCCAATTAATTATTTTACCTTATAATTCAAATTTGCTTCATCATAGAAATCAGCAGAATGTGAAAATTGTTTGCCTATGGTAACATTTGCATAGCTAAGGAAGAAAAGTAATGGTGAGTTCAGGGTTCAGAAATTTAAATTTTATTTTACTGTTTAAAATTCAAAACAGATGACACAAAGGTATTGAAAATATCTTACCCATATCCTGTTCCTTTCTTCCCTGGGTTTGTGTATAAATTCTTTCCAGGTGCCTCATATTTGTCCCTGGGTTTTAACTCTGCACTGAAGAATGGCACTGGGCCACCTATTGTTCCATAGTAGCTTCCAAATCCACACCTTAAATGCAGTATTTTTTAAAGTAAGAAGTTAAAATATCAAATTTCATGTCATATATTTCGATAAAAAAATTTAAAGATTAAAAAAGGAGAAAAAAACACATGTGTAAATACCAAATAGTTCCTCTAGTGTGAAAAACAAAAAGTGTAAATAAGCATCAGAATGTGAAATTGATAATGTGAAATAGGAAGAAATGGTCCGAAGGGGGAGGGGAAGTGGGATGGGTTGGGGAAAGGACAGAAGGGAATGGACTTAATATGAAAAAGTGGAAACAAAGTATTTGTAATAGGGAGTGATAGAGGGGTTGAAGGGAGGGAAGGAGAATGGGGAAAAATAAGAACCAAGATGGATTATATAAAGGTAAAAATTTCCAATGATGAATGTCATTATATCGTATACCTAAAATATACCATAAACTTTTTTAAAAAGGAGAAAAAAATACATAGTGGAATTGTCTTGCTTGACTCTCATAAGAAAAAATATTCATTTTTGTTAGTTTTTATTTTCTTACTTTTCAAAGCCACAAATTGTGAGATTTTTTTTTCTTTACCTCAAATGTTCTACATAAAATTTCATGTTATTTAGAAAGTTAGAATTGTTCCCATTGATTCTGTTAATTATAACGAGGAGAATTTTCTGTGTCTTTAAATGAATTTCTCTGCACTTTAAGGCAAATTAGCTAATAAATGATTAATTTCTTTTTACTATCCAACTATTAAAAATTATACTTGCAAAACATATACATAAAATCATTCTTTCCACTGTTGATAGCAAAATAAATCTCATAGAATTTTGGTGCTAGTTTCTTCTTTTTGGTTTACATTTATTATTTTAGTAAAAAATATTAATCAAATATTTTCTTCATTTTTAATATATGTTTTTCTGGGCACAGTACCTATGCAATCAAACTATTTTTTTTACCCAATACTACATTATAACTGTTTTACTTTCACAATAAAAGATAAGTAATGAAAAACCACATCTTCTTTATCCAGTTTCCAACTGATGGGCAAATGGGCTGTTTCCAAGTTTTAGCTATTACAAACTGCGCCGCTATAAACATAGGTGCGCATATATCTCTGTGATATGATTCTTTTAATTCTTTTGGAAAGATACCCAGCAGAGGGAAGGCTGGGTCAAATGGAACCTCTAGTCCCAGCTCTTTGACGTATCTCCATATTGATTTCCATAGTGGTTGCACCAGTCTGCACTCCCACCAACCATGGAGAAGGGTTCCTTTCTCCCCACAACCCCACCAACATTTGTTATTGGTTGATTTCTTGATAGCAGCCATTCTTTGTGGGGTGAGGTGGAATCTCAGTGTTGTTTTCATCTGCATCTCTCGAATGACCAGTGATGTGGAACATTTTTTCACATATTTACTTGTTTTTACTTCTTTGTCTAAGAAATGTCTGTTCATTTCAGATGCCCATTTTTCTATAAAATGGAATATTACTCAGCCATAAAGAATGAGAAATTAAGATTCATTCATAGAAAAATGGATACATATTGAGGATATACTCCTAAGTGAAATAAATAAGTCACACATGTATAAATACCAAATAGTTTCTCTGGTGTGAATAAACTATAATAGTGCGTAAGATCCTAGTGATATAATTGACAATGTGAAATAGGAAGGGGCTAAAGGTGTAGGGAAAGTGGAAAGGGTAAGGGAAAGCTAATAAGGGAAAAGAAAAAAATAAGACAAAATGAAAAAATGGAAATGAAATGTTTGTAAAGAAAGAGGGAAGGAGGGGGTGAAGGGAGGGCAGGGACAAGGGGAAAAAATGAGAACCAAGACCTCTCATGTAAAGGTGCACGATCTCAATAATGAATGTAACTGTACTGTATACCTAAAATGTACCAATAAACTCAATGAGGAAAAAATTGATAAATATAATTTTAAAAAATAATAAAAAATTTCAGTTAGAAAGCCAGAAAAGGCTCAGGAAGTCTCTTTTAAAACAGTGTGCTTACAATAAACAACAATGTACTGTATACTTTAAAATTTTGAAGAAAGATTTTGAATGTTCTTACTAAAAAGGTTAAATATTTTAAATAATTCATATGTAATTTAGCTTCATTTATAAATTCCAAAATAGATACATATTGTACATGATAAATGTATAAAACTTATAAAATTAAATGAAAAATGAAATACACTTCAAATAAAAAAAGATAAGTAATATCAATAAATCATAGTCTCTAATTCCCAGTTATAACTGAAATAAGGCTTTTCATGAGAAAATGGACTACAGAAAATGAAACATTATTATGATAAGATGACACCACAAATTTAAGTTAGAATTTTCAAAATTTAGAAAGATACCAAGAAAGGAAAAAAAAAAAAACATGAGAAAATGAAAAAATGGAAATAAAGTGTTTGTAAATAGGGAAGGGAGGAAGGGATGAAGGGAGAACAGGGGAATGGGGAAAAAATGAGAACCAAGACCTGTGTATAAAGGTACCAGATCCCAATGATGAACGTAACTGTACTGTATCCCTAAAATGTACCAATGAACTCAATAAAAAAAAAAGAAAGATACCAAGACTGATTACTTATTACCTCTAGCCTACAAGTAAAAATTCCATCAGGTGAGGCTACTTATTTTCATTAATCCTTACGTATGAACATGTGTCATACAATTCTAAAATACAGTAAGAAAAAGCAATAATATTGTAGAGAAAAGGACAATTATGCACAAGCATAATTTAACTACAATGTGAATTAATGGAAACATTAAAAGTCATGGCATTTAGGGGCCCGGGATTTAGCTCAGCGGTTCAGTGGCCTGCCTTGCAAGCGCAAGGATCCAAGTTCAATCCCTAGTACCAAAAAAAAAAAAAAAGTTATTACATTTAGAATTCATTAAATGCCTGTGGTTAAGGGGTAGAGACTAGATTTTATTCATGCAGAATATACACGTGTTGAAATATCACACTACGTGCAGTGAAGATACAAAATTAATACATGCTACTAAAAATAAAATAAATATTTAAAAAACAAAGTTTAGTAAGCGATACTAATAAAATAATGACGAGAAAATGCCTATAGCTCCATGATTTCATGTTGAATAATTGCCTAAATGAGGGTTTCTTATTTACACCACCAGTCTCTCTTTTTGAAAACACCTTTTGTATCCCACTAAATTACAAACATTTTTCATATACCTATGAGTTTTTTTGTTTTTGTTCTTTGGCACTGGGGATGGAACGTGAGTCCTTGCACTTGCGAGGTAGGTGGCGGAACCACTAAGCTAAATCCCGGCCCTATCTATGAGCTTTTAAAAGAAAAGAAAGCCAGTGTAATTGTACAACTGTTATTTCTTGGCCGGAAATACAAGCATAAACTAATGTACTAGGTACAAATTCCCAATTATTACCACGTGAGTCAAAATTAATAACAGGTGGGAGAAAGACTGAAAAGCAGGGAAAAAAGTTATATAAAGGGCAAAATACATGTACTACATGAAAAATAAAGCAGTAACAAAAAGAAAAAAATTCCTAAATTCATATCTAAGGAGAAAATGAGGAAGTCCCAATAGTAACGAGACTAAAAGTAAACGATTTCAGGGGCCCGGGATTTAGCTCAGTGGTGCCGCTGCCTGCTTCAAAAGCGCACTGTCCTCAATTCACTCAGCGGTTACCCACCCCCCATCTAAAGTAAATGATTCCAATCTATCAAAACTGTAAAAGTTAGAGAAAGTGAAACCTTAATAACACAAAAGAAGAAATTCTTAAATTATGTTTTCTTAGAAGACAAAATTTCCTGTTAGGACATCTGAGTTACAGAAATGTAGCTTGATAGTTTCACTAATCTCAAGAAGACAGAAAATAATCACAGAATTAAACTTTAATCAGTTCTCATCTATCATAATTTCTACACTGAGAGTGTCAAAATTCTGGACTATCGCTGAAAATCATCCTTTAAATCTTAGCTAGCCAGGCATGGTAGCTCACACCTGTAATCCCAGCACTTGGGAGGCTGAGGCAGGAGGATCGCTGTGAGTTCGAGACCAGCCTGGGCTCCATAGTGAATCCCAGGTCAGTCTCATCTACATAGTGAGACCCTGTCTCAAAAACAAACAAACAAACAAAAAACAAAATAAATCTTAGCTATATAGCATAATATATCATCAACTACATGGTATTAAACTAATGACTTAATGGTATGAAAAATTATCTTTTTTCACAAAGATATTGACAACTGTCACAATTAAAACACTATTAAACCCTGTGAATGTATCTTCACAGTGATTTTAAAATAATACATCTGACAAATTCTTTATCAAAATGGCATTTCTCCTAATTTCATGTTTTATTTATAATTTTAATTATTATAAACTAATAGAGAACAATGACGATAATAAAAATTACTTGTCAGTCTAAATCATCCAATGTAACTATCTCCATCTCAGGTAAATTGCACAAAGAAGCATACTTAAAAATTAGTCTTATGCAATTCCTACAGAAAACAAATATTTACTTTAAGCTAGATAGAGAAAGATTTAACAGATGTATTTATGACATTTTCCCAAACACTTACAGCTTTTTCTCTCCACTGCTAGGGAGGAAGGCTTTGCTTAGATTTTTTTTGGCTTCTTCCATCATATACTGCCTCCTCACTTGATTCATGTTTACATAGCCTTCTCCTTCAAAAATCCTTGCAAACTGGGAATCAAAATAGCCTGCCTGGAGATTTGACATCACTTTGGATCCCCCAGGTAACATCTGTCTATTTTTGCTTGCAGCTTCATTAAAGGGTCCTTAAAAATAAATTATGAATATTATAATTGAGCTCACTAGTCATTAAAAGATATTAAAAATAACAAAAAAGTTTCCAAATGTGTTTTGAGCCAATTATGAATTTGAGCTCCAAAATGTTTACTGAAAGTTCTGTGTTAAAGGCTATTTTGACAATAAGAGAATTTCATGAAATCATCTGAGTATATGCATTAGGATCCTTGTTACACATTCTGAATTTTAGACATGGAAGAGAACTTAAAAGTTTATCTAACTGAACATTTTTCCATTTACTCTCAGGAAACACTACACAATGTCAGTAAAAGTGTGTATACATTGGAGAGAAGGGTGTTGCATATACAAACTGAAGCAATTCTCCTCCGAGCATATACTCAAGATATATGAGTACCTGTATCCACTAAAACATGTGAACAAGAATGTTTATAGCACTTTCATTCTTAACCAAAAATAACAACCCAAATGTTTGTCAACAGAATAGACTGTAAAATTCTGGTATTTATACAATGATATACTAGTATTCAGGTAAATTATTAAATACTGTTATATTTAGAACTTTTATAATTTGCACCAAGGAGGGCTTCATTTAGGAAGCCCTTATAAAAATGTAAATAATTTTCAAAGTGTATAAAACCTTAATTCAAGTGGATACTGAAATGTGTATCTATATCACTAATTTTTAGCTTAAATTTTAGAAAGGTATTACATGCAAATAGTTTTATATTCAATAGTATAAATATTTTTTACAATGTCTTCTTCCATCACATGGCCACCAAGCTCTCCTCTTCCACAGTCGATGATGTTAATTTTATCTGACAGAATTTTTAGCTACGTTTGTGTAAATATATATCCTTTTTCATTTTTAATGTTTAATATATATACACAATTCCACATCTTTTTTATTTAACAATTTATTTTGGAAAACTTTCCATATTACTGCATGCTTAGTGGAGACATTTTAAAGACTACATTTACTGTTGATACGGCCAGGGATTTAGCTCAGTGTTTCCGCCACCTGCCTCACAAGCACAAGGTCCCAAGTTTGATGCCCAGTACCAAGAAAAATAATGCCTATTAAGATCGGGAATTTAGCTTAGTGGTTTCGCTGCCTGCCTTGCAAGAGCAAGGTACCAAGAAAAAGAAAAAAAGAAACAGATAATACTTTTGGTCTTTTTATTGTAACTTTTCTAAAAACTATTTGGCATTTCATTACCAGAAAAGCAATAATAGCCTTCTTGGATGCAAATAGAAATGACAGGGAAGTGTGCTACCCTAAAAACAAAAGAAAATAAAAAAAGCTAAAAGCAAAATATTTTGGAAGAAACTTGTCATGCACCTTTGGAAAGAAATAAAATTACCTACAAGGACCCTATATAAGGGTAGACAAACCAATAAAATGAACTTCTGGGCTGGGGATTTAGCTCAGTGTACTGTGCCTGCCTCACAAGCTCAAGGTCTTGAGTTCAATCCCTGGTACTGAAAAAAAAAATCCAAAATGAGCTTCCAACTCATAAAATTAAGTTCTCTCTTAATTCTATTACAATGTCATAAGTCAGTCAACTTTAGAACCCAATGCTTTAAAATATAGACTATGTAAGATATCATTTTGCCTTAAAATGAAATTTCATTTGTAAAATTTCCACTATGAAAATACTAAATATACTTACGATTAAATGGTGATACATATTTATCACCAATAGTAGTATATCCCATCTCACTGAAGAGGCCAATCTTCTCCATATCTGTCTTCCCTACTTCTGCAGGCATGGTTGCTTCTTATGGTGGTAACTTCAAAAGGTTCCTCAGGGCTGTCTTTCTTATACCAAACTCCTACTTTACTTTGAAAAACACAGGAAAAAAGTTTACCAAAATGAGCTTATTAAATTTCAACCCAATTTTCAGTTTATGAGTTTTAATGCTTTCTATAAAACAACAGTTCCTAAACTATGTGATGAAAGAATCCTCTCTGTGGAGCCACAGGAGGCCACTAGGATTCAAAATCAGCATCATGAAGTCTCCCTTCAACTCTCTGTGAATGAAGGGCCTACAAGTTACAAAGGAATTTATGTGATATCATCTGCCATTTATTTATCTGATGGAAATGATAAAATTACTACCATATAAATATTGTGCAAATGGTATCCTTCTTTGGAGGAATTCAAGGTAGATTTTAAAATCATAATTATATAAGATAGACATTTTATACTTTAAATAAAATGACTTCAGCATATTGGATTGTCCCTCATACTGAAAATTGTAACTTAGCTTCTCAGAATGTAGAACACATAGATATTGCCCTGCAGTAGCTGAGATTTTTCAAGCTTAAATATAAAATATGTACCACTGACAAAATTAGTTCATAAAATAAATTGGAAGATAGATCAATTATATAGGCAAGATGAAACTATGAATAAAACAAAAAGTTCACAATGATTTCTGAGGTTTTGTTAAAAGACTGAAACTGCAAGTTTCTTTTCAAAAAGAAGTGAAATATGAATGAATCTATTTTCTCATTCTTTATGGCTGAGTAATCCTATAAAGAACGAGGAAATAGATTCATTCATAGGAAAATGGATACATATTGAAGATATACTCCTAAGTGAAATAAATAAGTCACACATGTGTAAATACCGAATAGTTTCCCTGGTGTGAATAATCTGCAACAATGCATAAGATTCTAATAAGATTACTGACATTTAGAAATGGGAAGAAAGGAGCTAAAGGTGTAGGGGAGGTGGGATGGGTAGGGGAAGAGTAAAAAGGGAAAAGAAAAAATGTGAGAGAATGAAAAGATGAAAATAAAGTGTTTGTAGATGGGGAGGGGAGGAGGGGGTGAAGGGAGGGCAGAGGTAAGGGGAAAAAATGAGAATCAAGACCTGTCATGTAGAGGTACAAGATCCCAACAATGAATGTAACTGTACTGTATCCCTAAAATGTACCAATAAACTCAATTAAAGCTGAAAAAAAAAGTGAAACATCACATTGAACATGCTAAGTATTAACTTAGAAATTAATTTTTAATTAAAAATGATCTCAAAAGAAGGACCAAAGAGCTAAAAACATCTGCTCCTATCTCATTCTTATGTTTTTCAACACCAACTATGAGACACAGACTGGGCACACACTTGTGAACAAAACAAACACTAATGTATGCTTCGCTGTTTATAATGCAAGGTAAGGATCTTTTACCTTGAATTAAGACCAAGTTGACTCAATGACCCTCAGCATGCTTGCCTATTTGGACTGTGGCTCATCTGTGTGTGAATCGTTGCTAATGTGTAACATCAAGAAAGCAAGTGAGGATTCAGTTTAAACTAAAGCATAAGAAAACACAACACCCTTTCCTGTCTCCTCTTTCTTCTGATCCGGTACACTTGAATACTAAACAGCATTCACTTGGAGAGTACTCTTGAGTTTAGTTTATTTAAAGCTCCATCTCACTGCCCAACTATAAAGGTTTCCTGGACTGCTACACAGGACTCAAGTCCTTTAAGGGACCCAAAAGGCCTACAATCAGCCAGCCTCTACCATCAATATGGGAAGCTCTTTCCCTGGACCCTCGGCTGCATTCGTCTTCTTCCACTTGGCAGGTCGGGGCTCTTTCACCCACAGTACTACTGTACCACTTTAGGTAAGAAATGCAAGATGCCAACCCCTTCCTCACCCCAATTAACACTGATGTTTCGCATTACTCAACTAGTTCATCATTTCTTTAATACCAGCATAGCAGTTAAGTATGTATCCTTCTAGGACTTCATCATGATTATCCAACGGGATTATTTGTGGTGTAGAAATACGTGTATTGCCTCAACAAACGCAGGAAACGTGGTTAGAGTTCTTCTTCATCACTTTTTTAATATGGGGGTCTCCATTATGTTGCCCAGGCTGAGCCCGAACTCCTTGGCTCAAGTGACGCCCCTGCTCAGTTTCCCAATTAGTGAGGATTATGGGAATGCGTTGGCACTCCGGACTAGTTTGATTATTCTTTGCCACTGTATTCCCAGTTTCTACACAGCGTCTCTCTAGAAACTAAACAAGCCAAGGAAAACGGGAAGAAAGGTAATGCCTTGACCTTCTCCAGCACTTAACTCTTGAGTAACATTTACAAAATCGCTCACTCACTTAACTGCAAACCTCATCCGGTCAAGGTTCGCTGGTAAAAGGAAAACTGGCTTAGAAACTGCCCCAGGTTGTTTGCATTCTAATAAACGAGGCAATAAGTATAATACAAGTAGAATATGGCATGTTCCCTTCGAAGGGTAAGGGTAAAATTAGTGAGGAGTGAAGAAGGGGTAGAAAATTCTGGCTGAGGCGATGTGTAAATTATTTCCCATTAGGAAAAGACAGACTTGAAGTAGGCAAGTATCTAAAAGGTGACCGCTGGTGTCTGTGAGGACCAAGTCACCTCTCCAAAGGGTACCTGATCCGACAACCAAAACAAGATCTCCCAGCTCCAGTCCAGTCCACGTTATCTCTGAGGTAGGAGCAACTTCAGCTCCGAGGGGTCTCAACGCGCGAGCCCCTCCCAAGCTGCGAACTGTCGCGAGTTCTTTGCACACCTGGCTTTATTGTGGTAGCTCAGGATACGGGAGAATCCATTCCAAGTACGCCACAGGGAAGACACGAGGAGAGTGCGAATCCGTATAGAATCACACAGGAGGATTTATGAGTGAAATACAAAAAACTCAGCCAATAAAATGTATTGAAAACAAGTCTTGTTTCCCGCCTTTTTAGCTGCTGACGAGATTCAATATGGTACGTTCCTGATGTCCTGCTGCCAGGCATGCTGGGAGTTGTAGTAGCGATGACGCCACTTCCGGGCCGGCTGCCTGGGCCCTGTGGTGGATTTCGGTGTCATGGTCACGTCTAGAACCAGGTAGGTGAGTCCTTTTGCTTGCAGCCCTCCCCGTGTTTACCCCTCGGACCTTGCAGCCTTACGAAATATGGCTTCAAGCCACTGAAAGGAGCTGGTCCTACCAGCGCGCACGACGGCAGGTGCGAACCTGAACCTGAACCTGGTGGACTGTCTGGGCAGTCCTCCCCTCACCCTCACTCCCGGCTGCGGCCTGAGGGAAACTGACCCCCACAGGCGTGCACCCCTCCTCTGCCGTGTTGGGACACGCGCTCCCTGCCCTTCCGCCTTGTGAATGTTCTTTAGCGTCCGTGACGTCGCACTTTTCTGGTTTCCCTGTCACAGCCAGGTTCTCCGATCCTTATCCTAGATGTAGGTGCTTTTCAGAGAATACTTTACATCCTGTGCTTTCTCCTGGCTTTGTATCTACTGTTTAGACCTTTCTTTTGCGTTCCACATTGGCAAATCTGCTCTATCTCCACTTGGATAAGTCATATGTATCTCAAACCCAGCAAGTTTAAATCTGAGTGATTTCCAGCTCTCTCACCCAACATCTCCCCTCCCGCCAAGAATCCCCACCTCTCCATATGGCACCACAGTCTACAACACCTTGGCTGTGCCTGCCAAACACCCGGAAATCACCCTTGACACCTCCCTCTTTTCAACTTCTACTTCTAAATGACTATTTTCACTCCACTCAGACCACTTTTGTCCTTGCCATCATCAGATATGACCATCTGGGGTAGTCTCCTAAGTAGTCTTTTAAAGCAGGACTTCACCAGCCCTGACCCTACCTGGAATAGGCAAGATCTTCCACCTATGGCTTAACCTTCCCATCTTTCCTTTGGAAGTATTAATACTTTCCCTTCGGATCTCAGCTTAAATATTATTTCTTTAAAGAGAATCTCGAGTCAGAAATCTGAAGAGACTCTGATGCTTTCACATATGATATTTTATGGAATCTTCACTGTGACCCTGAGTGTAGAATGCACTACAGTTGTATCTGTTTCCAGTTTTACCGAAGAGAAACAGAAGTTGAATGGTTAAACTGTACAAAATCATATTGTGAATGACAAGAGTTAAATTTTGCTTGCTTTTTTAACTTTTATCTTCAATTCCTTTAAGTATTTTTATACAAATAGGCACATACTATCTTGTATGATATTATTCTTTATTTTCATATTGATACCTATTAATGGTTTCCTTGTTTTGTTTTTGCTGTGATGAACAACAGTAGCACAAATGGACAGCATTAATATATTCTGAACTTTTTCACTTTTTTCCTTCGAATAAATTTTCCAGAAGTAGAATTGTGATTGAGGGTATGACTTTTCAACAGGCTACAAGTTGTAGAATAAATAAAAGAAATGCGAATGAGAAAACTTGCAATTGTACCTACTTCATAATGTTCTGAGGATCAAAGTTAATATGTCCAGTTATTTAGCGCAGTAGTTATTAATACTTACTTTGAAATAGTCTTTTACTGTGTACTATGATTTTTCAGATTTTTATTTTGAGAACCTGATAAAATCTTTCCAACTTTTCCTTAAAAGACATCTCCTCCACATGCGCATACACTGATACAAGTCATTTGTCAATATATCTTAGACTATTGAAACTCAGCATATGGACCAAGTTAAGAACTGCTGATCAGTTCCATTTTTCAAGTGCTTTTATTCCTCTATAGGTTGTAAGTATTGTCCAATTCCATTTAATTTTTGTCTAAAATTATTTTATAGCTGTATGATTTTTATAATGATTAAGTTAATCTATTGTTGACTGGTATGATCCTTTATATCCTAATTAATTTTGTGATTTTCTGTGACTAAATTTCTAAGGGAAGAATAATCAGGCCAAAGATATAACTATAAGGCTTTCTCATTGACACCTTCTAAGATGAGTTCTACCTGTTATGTTCCCACCATTAGTTATATACCATATTAGGTTCAGGGCTTTTGTCAAGTTCCTAAACTGTTTCTTTACCATTGATATTTTCATGTTATTGTTAACCCCATCCAGACTTACAAATATTATCTCAGAGCAGTGGTTCTCTACCTTTTTTTCTCACATTAGAATCACTGAGATCAGAGGAAGCTTTTAAATATTCCTTTGGCTAGGCCTACCTTCCACCAATTAATCAGTCTCTGGGGGTGCAGTCCAGGTAGTAGAATTTTAAGCTTCCCAGGTGATTTCCATATGGAGCAAAAGTTGAAAAACACTAATTTAGAATTCAATTTGTTTTTTTCCCGTAAAACAAGCCATTAACTCATGAAATAACTTGAAGAGTAAAGCTTAATTTTTGCCTTACCCTAAACTCAGCTTCTAATTTACATGAGAGTGAGTTTTTTTGGTTTACAAAGGAATTTTTGTTTTATTTGTTCTATGTGATTTCAGAAACTATGGATATACTTTTCAGAATAAGAGGAGGCCTTGATCTGGCTTTTCAGCTAGCAACCGCTAATGGTAGGTCTTTGAGAAAAGTTTCGCTTTTTATTGTAAAATTAATGATGAAATATACTTCAATTCTGTCTAACTCATGAAAATGAGTTAGAGATAGGTTAAACTAAAATTATGTATTTAGTAAGATTACAGGCACCTGTGTGCAAATGATAAAAAGATGTCCCCTTCTTTAGGAAGCTTTATAGCCCTCCTACAGAAAATTGTCATAGTAATATAAACATTCCCGTGAACACAAAGTAAATTATGCATCAGAATTGCAGATTACAGACTAACAATGTGCATTTCCGGACCACATCATTTTAAATACTGTGTGATATGGGAACAGTACAAGGAGTCAGGAAGAAAAATCAGCAGCATATGTGGACCACTGCCACAAACTGAGATGATGACTATCAAAGGAGGAATGTAATGCATTACATTTGAGATTTGTTTCATTTGAAATGCCAGTGGAGCATCAAGCATAAATTTCCACCAAATATTTGGTTGAGTCTGCATCTTTGAGGAATGTGGTCAGAGTTGGAACTAGAGAATACACTGTCTCTGGAGAGTGATAGCTAAATACTTTAATAAATGAAACCACCATGAATTGTACAATGGGTGATGTGTTAAGGCCACAGAGAGTATCAGAAAAATAAGGAATGAAAAGTGTAGGGGGAATGAAAAGTTACTCCTACAGGGGACATGTTTGGGTTTGGGAGTGAAGAGAATGTTCTGGTATTAGATAATGATGATTATAAAACCTTTTGAATGTGTTAAAAAGCCAATGAATTGTATACTTTAAAAGAATGAATTTTATCTCACGTTTAAAAAAAAAGATAGGCAAAAAGTTTTTGTTACAATTATTGAACATGAAGAATGGGTATTTGACAGTTTTACTATGCTCTACTTTTATGTATGTTTAACAGCATTTTTGTTGAAGTTTAAGGTTTTTCTTAACTTGTATTTATATTTTTTTAGAAAATTTTATCAAGAAGGTACTAACGCATGTATTGAGTGACCTGACAACCAAACTTTCTTCAAATGCACTTGTATTCAGAATATGCCGCAGTTCAGTTTATATATGGCCTAATAGTGGCATAAACACCATTCCAGGAGAACTGAATGATAGCTCTGCTTGCAAGAACATAATACGCTTTATTCAGTAAGTATGTTTTAAATTTTTCAAGTGTTTTTCAAAACATCACTTCCTATTTATAAGTGTCTCTCTATTAAAATTTTAGATTTGATCAGGAAGACACAAAACGAAAATTCATAAGAAAGAAGGACAAACAGTTATCAGACATGGTAAGCAAGTAAATCACCTATCTTTGCTATTGATTTTTTTGTTTGTTGTTCAATACTGGACTAGGAATTGAACCAAAGATTTTGTTCATGATAGCCAACCACTCTACCACTGGACTACATCCCCACCCCTCCATTGATAAAATTTTCAACCCTTGAATTTCGAACTGAGTAAGATCTTAGAGATAACTTAATCTTGCCCTCTTATTTTTATAAGTCAGAATATTGAAGTTAAAAAGGTTATATGTCTGCTTTATATATCTAAACTTTCATTTAAGCATAGTACGTAAAATAATACCATGTAAGCATATTAAACAACTAAAACCTTACATATCTTGGAACATATTATAATACATGTTTTGGAAGCTTTTTAATGCTTTCTTTGCTCCCACAAAAATGAAACAGACTTGAGTACATTTATAAATTAATATTTAAAAATAAAAAGAATCTGGCACACTATGCTGTACAAGATAACAAGTATTAAAGGATTTCTTTTTTTTCACACTGTTTTTGGTTCCACTGATTTTTGAACTAATATTACTGTGTATCTGCCGTACCATAAACTATCAGATTTTGGCTAGAGATAAAAAGTAGACACACTTCTTTAAAAGTGTGCTTCAAAAAAAGATTTGTGCTAACAATGTACTATAATATAGCTTTACATATTATTATAAAGCTTGCATCACCAACAACAGGAATAATAGGAAGTTAGTATGACTAGAATTTTTCCAGGCTGGTAAGCAGAGAATGGGTATACAAGAGAGACTAAACACAAGACTATTTAGGTGATGTAATAGATAGTATTTGGAAACTAGTGGTATAAAGTGTGATTAAAAAAAAAAAATACAGTGGCAGACTGGGGATTTAGCTCAGTGGTGCCACTCTGCCTCGCAAGCACAAGGTCCTGAGTTTGATCCCCAGTACCCCCCCAAAAAAAATATATATATATAATATATTTTAAAATTTAATTTTAAAATGTTTAAATTTATTAAAAATGCATTACTGTAAGAGACATCTTGCCGCATATCCTGCTCAAAATACTCCCCCTCACTTATTACAATAAAAGGCACATTGCCGCATAGCCTCCTCCGAATACTCCCGCTTTCTCCAAACACATTCATCCCACCATTCGTGACACTTTCAGAAGCAGTTCTAGAAACCTTTCGTGAGTGTCTGTAGTTATGCTGCTGTGGCTGCCTCACTATCCTGATTCAAAATGTTTACCTTTCGTAGTCATTTTGACTTTAGGGAAGAGCCAGAAGTTATACAGTGCCAGATCCTGTGGATACAGACACACCATAATATTTTTACAAATCTTGTATGGCATAATAGTGTATGGCACTGGGCTGCATCACTCATTGTATCTTTTATCACGACTCTTACAGACCTTCAGTAAAGAGGTCTTCCAGAAATGCTTTACAAGGTAGCAAGAATGACAGGATGAGTGGTTTCAAAGCTGAGGGAAGATTTTTTGAGGGGAATTAATAGCAATGTGTCTTTTTTTTTTGGTACTGGGGATCAAACTTAGGGCGTTGTGCTTGCGAGGCAGGCGGCAGAACCACTGAGCTAAATCCCCAGCCCCAACAATGTGTCTTTTAATGTAATAAATTTTTTAAATTTAAAAATGTGTATTTACCCCTGTCTATTTACTGCATGTATATTTACCTTGTATATTTACCCCATGTATGTTTAACCCTTTTATGTTATATAACCAGTTTCTTGCTTGGGCAAAGATGGAAAGTATGAAAGATGTAAGATCAGTTTTGGTCCCATTTAATATAACACTGAGATGTACACATAAGCTGTGAAATTTACAAATGTGGAATATATATAAAATTGTGGGATGAACATAATGATTTGAAAATTATCAGCAGTTGCAGCTTGACATTTCGACGACTACACGCCAGTTATTTTGTAATATGTTCCCCAGTTTGGGTTTGTTTTTTTGTTTTGTTTTGTTTTGTTTTTACCATTCAGAGGTTAAGTTTTTTTCTGTTTTGTTTTTTCTCTCATTGAGTTTATTGGTACATTTTAGGTATACAGTACAGTTACATTCATCATTGGGATCTTGTACCTTTACATGACAGGTCTTGGTTCTCATTTTTTCCCTTGTCCCTGCCCTCCCTTCATGATTAGATTCTTCCAATATTTTCAGGACTATCATAGAAGAGATATTGTATCCTTGTCAGCACAAAATATTAAAGAGGCAGGTTCTATCACTTTGTTCCTGTTATTGGTGGCATTAGCTTTGTTTACTTAAGATGGTATCTGCCAGATTTCTCCACTGTAAATAATTTGTATCTTGTTGAAAGATATATATATTTCATCAGATATGTGCCCATCACTTTTAACATTCATTGATAAATTTTGCCACAATCCAATATGAATCTGGTAGTTGGAATGTGATGATTTTTCTGTCATTTCCTTCTGTGGGTATTAGATAACGTTATGCTTTCCTTGTCTCTGTTAATTTACTTATCTGCATAGAAGCATGGATTCTTATTTTATGCAATGTGTTATAATAGGGTATACATTTTTAAAGTTCCTCTGATGTGTGGTTATTGTATTTACTTGATTTGTAAATTTTTTAAATCTATACAGAGTAGAAAGAATAAAATAATAAGCCCAATCCTATACCTACCTTGAACATTCATCAACATGTGGCCAGTGTGATTTCCTCTTTACTTCCTACTGGCTCTCCTTTTCCCCCTAGATTAATTTGAAACAGAAAGGAATTTTTTTAAATAAAATGTGTGCTTTCTAACAATTTACTATAAGTTTACATATTATCCTATTAAACGTATTTTTCCTTCTCCTTTATGCTGTGTTTAATATTCCACAAGTTGACCATTGCTGTTCATCTCTATAGCCTCAAATAGTAAATATAGATCTTATGCTGGAAATGTCAACTTCTCTGGCAGCTATAACCCCCATTATTGAAAGGGAAACTGGGGGACACCACTATGTCACTATGACCTTGCCAGTGGATGCAGTTGTATCTGTTGCTCCAGAAGAAACATGGGGAAAGTAAGTATTTTGATAATACTATTGCACTTAAATGAGGCCCCTTCCCCAAACTAATCGGAGCCCATTTTAAAATATTACATAAGCATTTCCAGGGTGGTTGTTACTTTTACTATGATTTACTAGTTATTTAATATCAACCTAAGAGTCATCTAGTAAGTAATTGTTTACTTGGAAGTAGGCTTGGGGGCCAGGGATGTAGCTCAGTGGCTCTGCACCCTCCTGGAAAGCTCAAGGTCCTGAGTTTTATCCCCAGTACTTGGTGGGGGGGGAGCAGGCTAGCATGCTATAAAACCTAAAAGGTTTCCCTTTATGCACCAAGAGCAAATATACAGTTTGTTTTATTTTGCATAACTTAAGCTTCTTGTAAAAAAAACCTAGTCTAACAAAGTTTTTTACTGTATTGGGGTGTATTAGCCCTACACTTTCGTTTAGTAGGCTTTATGACTTTTGTTAATGCACTTGTTTTTTACCCCCCAGAGTTTGTAAACTTCTAGTGGATGCAATTCATAATCAACTAACTGATATGGAGAAGTGTATTTTGAGATATATGAAAGGAACATCTATTGTGGTCCCTGAACCATTGCACTTTTTATTACCAGGAAGGAAAAGTCTTGTAACAATTTCATATCCATCAGGAATTTCGGATGATCAGCTGCAGGCCTATAGAAAGGTAAAACTAGCTCATTTATTGGAAAACATAACTATCATGAAGTTTATATTTAATTATACATTTTCAGTTAATGACAGTTATTTTGTGATTTGATTTAAAAATATAGAAGTAGAGTATTTTCCTTTTATTTCTGTATTCATATAACTTTTTAGTGTTATTAATGTTTAGTGTTTAGTGTTAATGGAAAAATATGCTAGTTTAGTATGGCATATAATATATGTAACATTTTAATTTCAGTTACTCAATTTGATTCATATATTCTATTTTCCAATAATGAAATGTGTGTGTGTGT